TGAAAAAAATATGATTCCCAATGCACACAAACTTCCCAGATTACTGAGTGCCCTGTTGGTTACAGTGTTTACTTCCATTTTTATTATATTTTTTTATTAAATATTTATTTATTTGTGGAAAAATACGTTGTGATCTAAAGTATAAGTATGTTTATTTAACACATTTATTTTTTAACACACACACACACACACACACACACACACATAGATAGACCTAAATATAGACATATATACAGCACCATTATTACCTCCATGCTGAGAAATGTCATAGCTTTTCAGTTGCAAATCTACTTTATTGATAAAGTCGCATGCCAGGTCAGCGCAGACAAGTTTCTGTACGTGTGTTTGATCCACGCGTGCACTGGACTTTGAGTCTGTACTGTATGTGTGTGCGTTTTTATGAGAAAGAGCAGGAGAAAGAAAGTGTGCTTTTCGTAGATAATAAAATGTGGAAAACACAGAAATAGTTTGTCGTATTGTTTGTTTTGTCGTATTGTTTGTTATATTTATTTGTTTGGTTAATGTCTTTTCAAGTTTTGGTTCTTTTGCTGTTGTAGGTAGGCATACCCCGTAGAATAAATAATTATTTCTCCTTATTGTAACTGGTCCCCTCGGGACGTGCGAGCATAGGCACGTGTCTAGAATGCCAATGCATAAATCCGGCCCTGTCTACATTTTTACATGGAAACAGGTAGTAGATTGATGACTGTTGTTCCTCATTCCTTATTACAGGGTTGTACATTTGCTTTGGAAGTCTGTAACAACCAGGAGAGGGCGCTGCATTTCTGAACCAGTGTCCATAATGCAGCCAAAATCAGATGTTTTGTTTGGGGATTGCATTCAGTTCTCAAATCTGCCATAGTCATTTTAAAGATGATGATGATGATGATGATGAAGATTTTAATTTATATGTAATTTCACAACAGAGTGTGGATATTGTATAATAAAAAGATGTTACACTACAATTCAAAAGTTTGGGGTCATTAAGAAACCAATATCGGTCGACCACTAGTTGTAATCACCTCTAAATCTTCCACATGCACCTAAACAGTTTACATATGTGTAAGAGCTTCCGAAACCTCCTTCGGGAAGGATGGGCCTTCTGCAACGTTCCTGTTCCAAGGGGAATGGGTGGGTTTTCCCAGTGTTATCCAATCTCACTGAGTGGGTAGTGCTACGACAACAGTGACTGATCTTCTTGTTGCGAGCCCCGGCCTACACCAAAAAAGGGCGCAGGTGGCTCGCACAGGGATTTTAATTTATATGTAATTTCACAACAGAGTGTGGATATTGTATAATAAAAAGATGTTACACTACAATTCAAAAGTTTGGGGTCATTAAGATTTTTAAAAATAATTTTATTCAGCAAGGATGCATTGAATTTATCAAAAGTCACAGTAAAGACATTTATAATGTTGCAAAATATTTAAAATTCAAATAGAAGATGTTCTTTTAAACTTTTATCAGAAAATCCTGAAATAATGTATTAAGGTTTGCACAAAAATATTAATCCGCACAATTGTTTTCAACATCGATAATAATATAAAATATTTCTTGAGCTCCAAATCATATTACAATGATTTCTGAATGATCATGTAACACTGATGACTGGAATGCTGATATTTGATGTTTATAATCCTGTTACTGTAATATTTAAAAAATAAAATACATGTAAATTGAATATAAAGTATTTTTAAAAAGTATTAATCATTTGTATTATTAGTATTTATTTTAACAAGAAAATGCATGCACTTTTATGATAAAATATTGTAAAAATGTTTTTTAAGTGAAAATGAAATGAATAGGCTTATAAATTATGTAAAAATGCCATTTTCTAGAGATTGAGGCTTCAGATGTAACAGCTTACACAGAAAATAATTAACTAAAGCATGTGAATATAGCTGACACTCATTTGACCTGCAGCCAGGCTCTGACTGCTGTAGAATGAATGTAACTGTGAGCATTCAGTGTCCTTTTGCTGTCACTGGCTCATAAAATTTCAGCCTCTTTTGTTGCCAACGGGAGGAGAAAGAGGGTATTTAAAAAAAACAAAAAAAAAACACTAGAACATTCTTTATTAAGTGTTGGGTGGAATTCAGAAGAGTGAAAACTGTTAAGAACTGCAGCATTGCAGCTCTGGGAACAAATTTTAACATTCTTTTGACTATTTCCCTCAAACTTGGAGAATTTATGGAAATGTAGAAGACGGTGAAAGGCCCCTGGACCGTATGAATGGATATTACAATTCTGCTGAAACCGGAACTAATGTGGCATCCCTGACGCTGGCACTAGATTTTAATACAAATTGAGGCTAATTATCCCTCCATCCTGCGCCGAGGTTTTACGTTCAACAATATGAGATGGCTGAAGGCCAGAAGATTGAGGAGACCACCCAGGAATAAAGACAGTGTAGTATCGTTAATGTACGTTAAGTGCAGAAAGGGGTGTAACAGCATTATAACTGCTTATGGTTAAAACAGTAGCAAAACTACATTATTAAAGGAATAGTTCACTCAAAAATTTTAATTTGCTGGAAATCTACTCGCCTTCAGGCCATGTGATATATGTAGATGTGTTTGTTTCTTCATCGGAACAAAGTTTAGCGTTACATCACTTGCTCACCAATGGATCCTCTGCAGTGAATGGGTGCCGTCAGAATGAGAGTCCAAACAGCTGATAAAAACATCACAATAATCCACAAGTAATCCACACAACTCCAGTCCATCAGTTAACGTTTTAACAAATCCAACTTCAAACCGTTGCTTCTGACTAAAATACGTCTTATTAAAATGTCTTAATTATGGATTTGTTTATTACAAACATGCAGCTTTTTGCTTCACAAGATGTTAAATGTGGTGTAGATTACTTGTGGATTATTGTGATTTTTTTCAGTTGTTTGGACTCTTTCTTACGATACCCATTCATTGCAAAGGCTGCATTAGTGAGGATGTGAAATTTCTCCAAATGACATTGACATTAAATTAAATTAATTTTAATGCAAAAAATAAAATGAAACTTACTGAAATTTATGTGTGCTTAGAATATATAATCTTATTTTTTCTCTCTCTCTTTTTTTTTTTCTTCTTCTTTTAACTAAAAGCAGTTATTTTCTTAATCAGACTTCTTTTAATACAGATTGACCATTTTGGTTTTTTGGAGAATGGCACATTCAAACAGAGGTACCTTCTTAATGACCAGCACTGGCACAAGGAAGGAGGCCCAATCCTGTTTTACACGGGCAATGAAGGAGACATCTCATGGTTCTGTAACAACACCGTAAATATGCATTTTCTTATATCTTCGGTTGGAAAAAATGACAGAAAAAAAGTTATAGAGATTTTGGAAATGACAAAACTGTGAACTACCACTTCTGTTAATTGAATTGCCAAACAGGACAACAGCAAATGCAACAGCAAGGTTCCTGAAATAGAAAGAACATTCATTTTCTCTATAGGGGAATTTATGTTTGTGAATGATAACTTATAAACATTTAAATACAGACCTACTGTGAGCTATGAGGTTGTTAATCAATGTTATATGCTTTTGTTGCCATCAGCCCGCATTATTTCACCTTTTTTTTTTTTATAATCATGTTCAAATGTGGAATTCCTAGCGGAAAAATAACATTATCCATGATTTTGCAGAGAAAGTCTTGTACAGAGTCATGAACCTTTGTTTTTTTGTCTATTATTCACATACTTTTGCTTCAAATCAAAAGTGTGTAAAGTTGTGATTCACCTTATAGCTGGTTGGTGTGGTTCATGGCTTATAACTCTTAAACAAAGATGTTTTTAAATGGGTGGGGAAAATACTTCCAGAACCAAAGCCATTGAAAAAATGGACAGGCGCTGTTACACTCTTATTATTTTTGGTGCTGCTAATGATGCAGAAATTATCGACTTCACCTTTAAAGGGGTCATATGATGCGATTTCAAGTTTTCCTTTCTCTTTGGAGTGTTACAAGCTGTTCGTGAATAGATAAGATCCCTAAAGTTGCAAAGACTAAAGTCTCAAACCCAAAGAGATATTCTTTATAAAAGTTAAAGGGGTCATATGATGAGTTTTGAGCAGTGTAGAGTAGCACTTGTTGTTTGTCATTCCTCCTACCACAAATGCAGACATGTTTACACGGCGCGATGAAACGCAATGCGTAAAAAGACAGTACAAGTCTATAATCCGTAATTATGTCCCCACTGGATGCAACAAATGCCTCGTTTCAGTTGATGATAATAATAAGCACAGTGTCCTTAGATAGTCAGTATCAGCATAATGTACTTCACAATTACATCATTCTGAAAAATACTGCTATCAAATATGAAATATTGCCATCCAGAGGAAAAATGTCTTGCAAAAGTATAACATTTAGTAGAGATAGTTTGCAAACTCTTAGTCCAAACGAAAGCTCAATATCTCTATCTGTACTTTTTCCCAAGGGTTTCATGTGGGATGTAGCAGAAGAGCTGGGAGCCATGCTGGTTTTTGCTGAACATCGCTACTATGGAGAGTCTATGCCGTTCGGCGAGGAATCTTACAGTGTGAGTCAATACCGCTGTCGAGCAATAAGGGTCATTTAGCTAACACTGTCCTTGACCTTCTGGGCTTTTCTTTCCTTTCCTCCAGAATGCAAAGTATCTGAACTACCTGACCTCAGAACAGGCTTTAGCTGACTTTGCAGTGCTCATCAAAGCTCTGAAAACAACCCTGCCTGGAGCTCAGAAGAGTTCGGTCATCGCCATTGGCGGCTCCTACGGCGGGATGCTGGCGGCCTGGCTGAGGATGAAATATCCCAGTGCAGTTGTAGGGTGAGAGTTTGCCTCGTTCATGTTTATTTTCATGTATACAGTATGTATGTATTGTGTATAATTGTTTATCATATACATAGACACACACACACGTGTATATATATATATATATATATATATATATGTATGTGTGTGTGTATGTATATGTACACACACACAAAATCTAAATCTATGAAGTTGACATGGCAAACGTTTAATAAGTGCTTAAGGGTCACAGCTTGTGTAGTTTATATCTAAATGTGAAATATTAGCCTATTAAAAATTCATAAGCACAGCATACATTAATGGAGTATCATGCCTAGTAGAAACTGAATAATATCTTACATTTAGAGTGCCATGGGATTCTGGAATAGTAAAATGCTTAACTGTAGTGTGTAACCATGTGTTTAATTGAGGAAGGTGATGTAATTCAGCAGAGAAGTTCATGATTATTGGTTGATTTTTCTACTGTGTAATAGGATGATCAGTGATTGTGACCTTCTGATGTTTTCAGTGCTCTTGCCGCGTCTGCTCCCATCTGGCAGTTCATTGTGCCTTGTGGAGAGTTTTACAAAGTGGTCACCCATGACTTCACCATCAGTGGTACCAACTGTAGCAGCAACATCAGGAGGTCATGGGCGGCTATTGACAGGGTCTCAGCATCAGGTTTGTGAATGTGATTTGCTATGCTGCTTTGCCCTTTGTTAAACATATTTTTTGTGATCATGTTGTGCATGTGTAGATAATATTGTTGACAATGTTTGGAAGATGTGGTACTGATTACAAAAGACACAGTTAAAATAATCAATAATACTAATCAATAATTTTGGAAACTTAATATTTTTACTTAATGCATGTTTTGAACTAATGTTAAATTCATGGAACATTAGTATAGCAGTTAAATTAGTTAACTAGTCGAGTTTACTGGGACACAATCAGTAAATGGTTAACCAATTTATTGCCATTACCTGATACCTGGTAATCAGTCTGTAATTATTAAAAAATAATAATAATAATAATAAATACAAATCTCTGTAATCTAATTATGTGTGTATCAATTCCAAGGACTTGATGTTTGTTTTGCGGATTTTGATTAGCTGATTATGTCGTCAAGATTACCTGTACTCCTTTACTAGCCAAGACTGATAGTTGAAGGATTTTGTTCTAGTTGTTTTAAACCCATGCTCATTTGGGATTCTTCATGGTTTTGTAACTCTCTTTTTGAAGCTTATGGGTTTTTCTAGACTCATTTGGTCAGCTTTTCTTTTATAGGTGAGGGTCTGCAGTGGCTGTCTCAGGAGTTTGGACTGTGTAGTTCTTTAAAGACTCCAGACGAAGTGTATGGCTTCAAGGCTTGGCTGCAGGAAACCTGGGTGAACTTAGCCATGGTGGATTATCCATATGAAGCCAACTTCCTCCAACCACTTCCAGCCTGGCCTGTTAAGGTACGATAAGTTCACTTCCAAGGTTTCCCTTACAGAACATACTGTGGCACACACCTTCTAAGTTTATACCTTGAAAGCACTGTTTTGGGATGAAAGCGTCTGCCAAGTGCATAAATGTAAAAATGTAATTTAAAATATACCATGTTGAAGAATTATTATTACCATGGTACAGTATTTACATGATACATGAATTTGAAATCTTTTGTAACATTATAAATGTCTTTACTGTCACTTTTGATCAATTTAATGCATCCTTGCTGAATAAAAGTATAAAAAAATGGTTTTAATATGGTATTTATTTATTTTTATTTTATTTATTGTTTAAATATTTAAGAACACTAGAACTGACCTTTTGCTAGGCCCTGTCTACATTTCATACATTTCAGATACGTTTTTTACATAAATGGCATAGTTTTTCAGTATATTGTGACTATGAAGTGGTAAAAATGAAAAAGAAAAAAAAAAAAAATCTTACATGGTATCAATTTAATGCATCCTTGCTGAATAAAAGTATAAAAAAATGGTTTTAATATGGTATTTATTTATTTTAATTTTATTTATTGTTTAAATATTTAAGAACACTAGAACTGACCTTTTGCTAGGCCCTGTCTACATTTCATACATTTCAGATACGTTTTTTACATAAATGGCATAGTTTTTCAGTATATTGTGACTATGAAGTGGTAAAAATGAAAAAGAAAAAAAAAAAAAATCTTACATGGTCTGGAATGAAGTATGACACACCTTACAAGAATAATGAATGACTAAAACACAACAAAAGTCATTAACAATAAAATTCTACTTTTACAGCTGGATTTCACAGCTAGTCGGTATGAATCATTCTCAGTCTATGATTTCCTCATTAATGCTGACTCATCTCTGATAATAAGTCTGTTGTACCCATTTACATCAGTATGCAAATAGCTTCATTCATATTCATAAAGCTTCTGTTTTCTTTCACCCTCAGAATTGAGCTTTTGTTCAGGTTTTTGTTCGGTTTTGGTTAGAGGGTGGCGTGGACAGAAAACATGTTTATTGTCAGACTCCTGAGGCATCTGTATTTTCATTCATTGAATCTATCTGACAGAGGAAAGGAAAATGAATATGAAGAGCCCTAGTGTGCATGGCAAGAAAGTAATATAAGCTCTGTCTGCTCCTAAAGCTAGTGAGTTGCCGACCTAGAAAACATTTTAAAGGGGTCATATGGTGTTGCTAAAAAGAACATTATTTTGTGTATTTGGTGTGTATGAAAATTTTTATTTTATGGTCAGTCACAATTGTAACCGGTGGTATAATGTGTATACTGAATTAACATAGTTCTGCAGTCTTAAAAATTGACTGTCTATTAGCCCAGCTATTTTAAACTGTTTGATCACATTCTATGGTTACTATTATGCATAAAAAACCCTTATACAACATTGATAGGAATACTGAGATAAAAGACAAAAAATACAACCATCAACGTATTTCAAAATTGTTACTTTATTGTAAAATATATCATCATTTTTTTATATTAGTGCTACCAGTATTACAAAATCAATATTGTAACTTATTTGTAACATTTGAACTTTTAATTTAGTGTAATATTTTGTCATTGCAACATTTTAGTGCAACCTTTACTGACAACTGCAATTGGATTTATATTGTATACCTAACGGCCCTGTTATCCCAC